TAGAAAGAACAATGCATTAAGAAGCTCCTGCACACACCTTTACGGCATGGCAAGGCTTACCTTAAATTCTTAAAATACAATGCAATACGTTAGTCAGTTCGATACTATACGATACAATATGATACAATGGTACATTACGGTGCGATACGATATGATATGATACGATACAATATGATACGATATGATACGATACAATATGATACGATACAATATGATACGATATGATACGATACAATATGATACAATATGATACGATACAATATGATACGATATGATACGATACAATATGATACGATACGATATGATACGATATGATACGATACAATATGATACAATATGATACGATACAATATGATACGATATGATACGATACAATATGATACAATATGATACGATACAATATGATACGATATGATACGATACGATATGATACGATACAATATGATACGATATGATACGATACGATATGATACGATACGATATGATACGATATGATACGATACGATATGATACGATACAATATGATACGATATGATACGATACGATATGATACGATACGATATGATACGATATGATACGATACAATATGATACGATATGATACGATACAATATGATACGATACGATATGATACGATATGATACGATACAATATGATACGATACGATATGATACGATATGATACGATACGATACGATACGATATGATACGATATGATACGATACGATATGATACGATATGATATGATACGATATGATACGATACGATATGATACGATATGATACGATATGATACGATACGATATGATACGATACGATACGATACGATATGATACGATATGATACGATACGATATGATACGATATGATATGATACGATATGATACGATATGATACGATACAATATGATACGATATGATACGATACAATATGATACGATACGATACGATACGATACGATACGATACGATACGATACAATATGATACGATATGATACGATACAATATGATACGATACAATATGATACGATACAATATGATACGATATGATACGATACAATATGATACGATACAATATGATACGATACAATATGATACGATATGATACGATACAATATGATACGATACAATATGATACGATACAATATGATACGATACAATATGATACGATACAATATGATACGATATGATACGATACAATATGATACGATACAATATGATACGATACAATATGATACGATACGATACGATACGATACAATATGATACGATATGATACGATACAATATGATACGATACAATATGATACGATACAATATGATACGATACAATATGATACGATACAATATGATACGATATGATACGATACAATATGATACGATATGATACGATACAATATGATACGATATGATACGATACAATATGATACGATATGATACGATACGATATGATACGATACAATATGATACGATACAATATGATACGATATGATACGATACAATATGATACGATACAATATGATACGATACAATATGATACGATATGATACGATACAATATGATACGATATGATACGATACGATATGATACGATACGATATGATACGATATGATATCAAATCAAATCAAGTTTTATTTATATAGCACATTTATAAACGATTTTTGGTCGAGCCAAAGTGCTGTACATATAATAAAAATAGCCTACAGTAGAGACACTTTACAGCAAATACAACAGCACAGATTGTTCAGAATATCAGTATGAGAAAAACGACACCCTCTATCATTAGACACTCACATCGTACAAGGAAAAACTTCCAGAGAAAACCCACAGTTTAAAGGGAAAAATGGGAGAAACCTCAGGGAGAGCAACAGAGGAGGGATCCCTCTCCCAGGACGGACAGACGTGCAATAGATGCCGTGTGTAAATCGAAGAGATCATACATTTTACAGCATATCTATATTATCTATACATATATGATACAATACAGAAAATGCCATACATTACTGTAAAGTAATGTACAATACGATATAGTAACACAATACTTTGCTGTCAGGTGAAGTCTGAATTGTGTCATGCATCACAGCAGCAAGGACAACATATTTAAGACAAAAAACGGACTTTTAACATAACATCAAGATCACTGAAGACAACATGTTCAAGACCCTCTAACTCTGTATTTAATTTGAAGATTGACTGGTGCGCAAAAGAGTGCTTCATGTCCAACCGCCCTGATTGGACGGTTGTTCGGCTGGCTGACGGATGGTGTTGTGTGTCAGCAGTGGACTTCGGGGACAGCTTTTCTAAATTCCCAAGAAACCGGCTTCTGTGTAGGCGGGGGTCTTATCTCTGCCATGCAGAGCTGCAGCCACATACCCAGGAGAGCTCTCACACACACACACACACACACACACACACCACACACACACACACACACACACACACACACACGCGCACACACACACGCACACACACACGCACGCACGCACACACATACCATGATACATCACTTCAGGGGACATTACATTGACTTACATGCTTTCCTGGAGACTTATCCTAACCTTAACCATAACCAACACATGCCTAACCCTAACCCTTACCCTTAACCTTAACCTTTACCTAACCCTAATCAAGTCTTCACCCTAAAATTAATGATTCCCCTCATGGGGACCTCCAATTTGTCCCCATAAGGGAGGCGAGTCCCCACACGTGACTGTGTAGACAGATTTAGGTCCCCACAAGTATAGTAATGATAGGCCACACACACACATACACACACACACACACACACACACACACACACACACACACACACACACACACACACACACACACACACACACAACCACCACACACAACCACTAGTCTAGTCATTTAAGAATTACTAGAATCCATGTGCTTTTTCCTAAATGTGATGTTTTGTGTGATATGAGTCGCCAGCACTGACTAATAAAGATGTAGGCTAGATGCTTCCGTAGCCAGAGGGTTGCATCATCGGAGCTTTTTTATTGCTGATTTTGTGTAATCTCAGTATTTTGATGCACCTCTGGCAGTATACACACACACACACACACACACACACACACACACACACACACACACACACACACCACACACACACACACACACACACACACACACACACACACACACACACCATGACATTTACATCTTACAATAAGAATAAACCATGAAGAGACAATCTCAGAACAGCAAGAAGCATGCAGCTACATTAGCTTCAAATGGCTAATAGTGCATCATTCAAATGAGCTAAAATCCTTCTAATAAAAGTACTACATTTTATTTTCATTTTGAAATGTTTTTGGTTTAATAGCAAGGTGCAGGCGAAACAGGGAAAAGCACGTCAGCATTACCTCAATGTATTTAACTGTAATTGCTTTTCTCACTTTCATAAGAATTTGTTTTTTTGTGTTTTATTTTTAGTGCAGCTTCCTATTTTTATATTTTGTTCAACTCTTGTTATATTTGTTTAATTCTCTTTACTTTTAACTGACCTCAAACCATGACTGTTGTTGATTCAAGAATACTGAAAACAAATCTGATGTTTTATAATAATAATAATAATAATAATAATAATAATAATAATAACAATAATAATGAAGATAATAATTAATAATTAATTAATTATCTTTAATTATGTCTATGGTTGTAATTGTCCATTGTAATCTTATTATGTCTAATGACATAATTTACTATGACATAGAATCAAATAATACTGTATATTAGTTTCAGAACTACTTAAAACTAAATAATAAAACATGTTGTTACGTCTTATAGCACAAATCAGTCCTGCTGTATTTAAATCAGTTTTTAAATGTTTCGCTGTAGGAAGGGTTTGTAATGTCTAATAATTGCGATTTTTTTTATAGGATTGCTAGTTTCTTTTTAAACCTTTCACTTATTACAATAATACTTTATTAAAGAGATATAAACAATCCCAATGTAAGTTAACATGTATATGAAGTGTTGGGTTGTCTGCTTTCATGGTGGCTTTTGTATGGGTTTACTTTAATATTGAGGAGTAAAAACTGATAAAAAACATGAATCACTAAAGATATTGTAGATAACAGCAGCTCCACCAGAGAGCACATCCTGTGAGGAAGGTGGATCACCTGAAGCCTATGCTGCCCCCTAGTGGTGCAAAAAGAGATCATCCAATAATAGTTGACAGCAGATTGCTTGGTAATTGGAAATACTTTTCTTAGACAGTAAAGATTATGTATAACAGAGGAATGACATATTTGTTTACATGAATGTACATTAGATATTTGTCTATCTATACTAGAAAGTGTTATAATAATAATTTCTTGAAGTTTTATTTTGAAATCAGCTTTGCCTTTGTGTTGTGACTCAAACAGGACACAGGTCAGCTCTGTGCCAACTGTCAAATGGTGCCTTCAAACACTGATTTAAATACTGTAATTTAACAGGGAGAATATGAAACAAGAAATATGTTGGATTCTTTATCCTGAAATAAAGCCTTAGCCACTGAAATGCAACTTTATGTAACTTTTATTCAGGAAATATAAGCACCCCAAACATGTTCAGGAACCTACAATCCAGGGAGAAATAATGACATATCGAGGCTGCGAAATGTAATATACTTCTTACTTTTTTTTACAAAAACATAACATAACAATAAACTGGGAAAACCCACAAACCAAAATGAAACCTTCAATAAAACAAAACAAATCAGAATCAAGGCAAGGCAAGGCAAGGCAAGGCAAGGCAAGTTTATTTATATAGCACTTTTCAACACAAGGCAATTCAAAGTGCTTTACAAAAAATGAAAGAGATTAAGAAAATGGCATTTAAAATCAGTCATTAAAAAGAAAAGCTAACTAATCAAACTGACATTTAAAAAAAGTAAAGACAATATGGCTGAAAATAATAACATAAAATAGACTTTCATTTGGGACTTTCCTTTTCGTGGCTAGCCCTGAGTACAGTAAAAACACTTTGGTCCACTGCTGATGAGACACACCTCAAATTACATATCCGCAACATTCCGAGGTGCTCCTGAAGGCAGCAGCAGCTCCTGAGGAAACGAACCTGAGCAGAAGTGAACATGAACGACAGAAACAAGCCGGTGACCCTGAAAATCATCCTCGTAGGAAACTCAGGGTAATTACAAGATGATAGTGTTTTAGGAATATAATTTCTCTTGATGAAAAGTGTTGTTTTAGTGCTTCACCGAGATTTGTTTCACTTTCATTAACTCCTTAATAACGTACTGCAGACTGAAGTGTAAATACTTTACCAAAGTTATCATGTCAGTGTAGCATCTGAAAGGAGAAAGAGGTTTTAGTGTGTTGTGTTTCTACCTTTAATGTTTGTGTTGTTTACAAAGGGTGGGGAAATCCTCCTTCATGAACCGGTTTGTGAATCACCGCTTCACCAACATGTACCGGACCACCATCGGGACAGACTTCCTCTCCAAAACAGTCACCATGGATGGGGACACCGTCAACCTGCAGGTGCATACATCCATCACACTTTAAAGGGGCTTTAAAGGGGCCTCTACTGTGACTATGTCTCCATTCTTTAATGTTCAAAAAGCTCTTTATTGTTCTCATACTGTCTGTGCTGCAGCACCTCTTTTCACCCTCTGTCTGAAACCAGATCCCAGTCTGCTCTGATTGGTTAGCTGGCCGACTCTGTTGTGATTGGTCAACAGCTTAGAGATGTCCCGCCCCGTACAATGTGTTGGAGCGCTAGCAAATAGAAGAGCGAGTGTATAGTGATGTCACTATGATACAGAAGTATACAAAGGAGTCAAATGGAGGCGTTTCAGACAGGGAGTGTGTGGGAGAGAAACTCCCTCTGGAGGGAACACAGGGATGAAAGCCTTTGCAGACCATTTACATGCACAAAAACATATAACACATTACAGGAAAGGGAACTACAAATATGAACCTGAATATTAGCCTAACAGGCCCCCTTTAAAGTTTCCCACCATGATTGAATTCAAACTATTGTTTGTATATTGATCTTGAGTTTTCCATACAATTTAGATTTTTAACATTATTTAAGAACAAATAAATAAATAGATGTAAATGTTCCCTCCTCAGATCTGGGACACCGCGGGCACGGAGAGGTTTCAGTCTCTGGGCACACCTCTGTACCGAGGAGCTCACAGCTGCCTGCTGGTGTTCGACGTCACATCCAGAGACAGTTTCTCCGCCCTGGAGGAGTGGAGGAAGGAGTTTCTGATCCAGGGAGAGCCTCAGGACCCGGACCACTTCCCCTTCATCGTGCTGGGCAACAAGACCGACCTGAGCGACAGGGAGGTGTGTAGTATCAAGAAGATGTGAAGCATAGATACTATGATTTAACTTGTGTCATCTGAAGGTTGACATGAGTAACAGTATTTTTTAAGTCAGTAATTTTTCCATTAATCATAATGACAAAGTTAAATTACAATCTTAAAATCATGCCTTAATATCTCGAAATAATAATACAAAATACTTCCTCAAAATAATGACAAACCTTAATATCTTTACTTAGGCAAATCAGACCAACATTCATTATTACAGTTTCTCATGACATTAAACATTTTAATGGTCCATCGTCAGACAAATGATGGCAAGCCATTTTGATAATCGTTCATTAGTCGCTTTATATATTTTCCATATTACAATTATTGTAGAAAATAATATAATCCATAATGAAAATAGCTGTTAGCTGTAGACCAAAAATGTTATACAAAAACCAAATTGTGACTTCAGATTTTATTACATTTTTCCTACGTCCACATATGCGCCGTTGTTGTTGATTTTAAATATGTGCATTTCTTGGCAGGTGTCTGGCGCAAAGGCCCAGCAGTGGTGCAGCAAAATCGGCGCACAGTATTTTGAAGGAAGCGCTAAAGCAGACCTGGATGTGGAGAAGCCGTTCATGACAGCGGCTCGGAGCGGCATACAGCAGGTGATTCAACACTCCTTTTAAATCATAGAGAGAATAAGAAATACACAACATCTCTCTCTATATGTTTAACATGTTTATTTTTTGATGATAAAAGATACATTACTCCCTACAGTACAAAAAACACACATTGGAAAATACAGGACATTTCCAGATAACCTGCGAACAGCCGAGAGAAACTCGCAACGCCTGTGAGTGCTGAGTCAGCGCTCGTCCCCGAGAGGCCGGGGGAAAGTTCAGAGAGACCTCGGCACTGCTGATGATGACCTATCTAACGAGGGTGCAAAAATAGTGACCCAGCAAAGGTACTGTGGAAGGAAAAGGACACATTGTATACCACATGGAGAGAGGAACAAACTCAGTAAATGTTTTTTCTGTTTTTTTTTTTATCTTGAGAACCTTCAGTTTATGGTCTAACTTAAGGCATCACTACTAAAAAACACTGCTTTTGCATGCATGTCTAGTTTTTGTTCAACAGACACACTGACACACACACACAAATTATGAATGCATATGAAGAGAGTTTTTGAGAAAGAAAGAAATTGGGAGAAAAGCACAAAACATAGACACCGAGGCGCCGGCTGGAGAAAAAAGGCGGCAAAGCGGAAAACCTCGGATCTTCCTGGCCTTTTACCGTGACAAAGTAGATCTACAGTCCTGCAACGCTCCCTGTACAGATCGTCGTGTTGTAATGAACCTAGCAGTGATTCAGACTCCCACAGTGAATCAGCTCGACAGAAGCAAACCATCAGGGAGACTATATATCTATATCTATATATATATATATAGTCTCCCATATATATATATTTGTTTCTTTTATAAGTAAAGACACGAAAAGGCAATCGAGAGATGACCGACATGTAAAAACAGTTTGTTACAGCAGGTAAATATATAAAAGGCCAAGATGATGCATTTTTTTTGTTTGTTTTATTCTTGCTCTATGAACGAACTAATTTACAAGTGAGTACACTCCGGCTATGTAAGCTTTTTTCCCCCAAAAGACATCCCCATTTTCCACACGGGTTTTACACATCACAGTTAGCTTGCTGAAATAGTCGGTCGTCTGAAATACAGAGCCATGGAAAGAAAAAAAATAAAATGTATTAAATGGATTCACATACATTAATAGGAAAGGGGAACATATGTCTAATATAATTTGCCATTCTAAAAAAAAAAAGAAAAGCATAAAAAAAGCGGGGGACAATTGTTTAGGTTATTAAAGGGGGGAGGGGGGAAAGATCTGATGTTTTGTCCTCATACTTCGTGAGATTTCATGTTTGGCAAACAAAGCAACAAGCATTGAGTAGTAAACAAAGTAAAAACTCTCCTGGGTCCACGTCAGAGTGCCCTTCAGTCCTACAACCTCGGTGGCTTCTACTTAGAACAAATACAAAAGTCTTTCTCTCGTTCATTTACCTTCTGTCAACAACAAGAACATACAACCGGCTGAATGAAGATTTCTTTTAAAAATATAGTGGCAACCTCAACACAGCCACCGATCGTCCCACGAACACAAACTATGGGGATGAACAATTAAAAAAGTGATTGTTTTTTTTCATTTTTAAAATGCACACGACATACACATACACACAGGAGGAAAGAACAAAACAAAACAAGCTTAAAAAATACAAAAATAAACTACACAAAGATCTTCTGCGTCATTGCTGCTTGCTAATTTTTTGGGAAGATTTGTGTGTGTGTGTGTGTGTGTGTGTGCTGCAAGTCTCAGTCCTATAGCAATGTCTGTCATTCATTCTCTACAAATCTCTTCTTGTCCACGTCGAAGAAGTGTCAGCCACCAGTCCTCACATCGGGTATAAAAGCGCACAGTGATGACATTACCAGGAGACTGGAGTCCAGTACGGCGAATACAGACTTGGTTCTCGATGAAGCACATTTTTGTTTTCAGCATAAAAAGAAAGAAATGATGTCCTCTGTCGCTGAGGACAAGTGCTTTATTTGTATCCATACCGATTTTCCCTCTCATCTAAACTAATGCCTCCACAGCCTTTTTTCCCCCTCAACACTGTACATCATTTTGTGTAGTCTCTCTCTACATCCCCTCTTGGATTCACAAAACAAAGACAAAAAAAAAGGTAACATTGCGCTCAGGCTGGCTCCCAGTTTGTGAAAGATGTAAATGCTTCTCTATACTGCTCAACTACTGAAACAAGCCAAAAGTAGATGTTAAAGATGGAAGGGGACGTGACAGAAAAAAGATAATGTGCTTCTAAGTTTGTGTTGCTCTAAAAATAGTACAACCAACAGAAGGAGGAGGAAGGAGGGTTTTATCTACAGAAACATCTCTCAGATTGACTTTCATCTCGGCTTCATACGGTTGTTCTGCCTCCATTGCTGTCTGGGTCTGAGACTTGAAGGGTGGAGGATGAGATTAGGATGGAGAATGAGGTGGTGGAGGAGGACGAGGGGTGAAGGTCAGTCTTCCTGATAAAAAGGACAGCGAGTGGAAAAAAGGACAAAAGACTGGGAGGGGTCTCCGGGTGACCTCACTGGTCCGTCCTCGCTTTCTTTGGACCGGCAGCCTTACTGCAAATGCAAAGAAGAAAAAAAAAGAAACCGGCATGAGTGTTGCACGTTTGATACTCCAGTGGCATGTGAACGTCTCGCCTGTGTGCACAGTGTGAAACATGTACAGTACTTACGTATCAGGAGAGGTGCCTGGTCTTTTTGGGGCCGGTTTTGCAGAGGCGGCGTCTTTGCCGGATTCTAGAAAAGCAGAACGATTTGTTAAAATATCTCTTTTTCCAATATAATAGTCATACACAAAAACAGTTGAAAATAAATGAACTCTCACAAGGCATACAAATTGGGAGGGATGAAAGCCCTTCAATGGTCACACATGCAGAGCAGAGCACACACAGTAGTGTTCTCTGCATTTAACCCATCCTAGTACTAGGAGCAGCGCACGGGGAGCAATGGGAGTGAGGGGGGAAGGGGGGTGCCCAGGAGGTGAACTGGGACCTCTCCAAGTAGCAGTCCACACTCCCTATTTAGGGTCTGGTCGGGGACTTGAACCGACAACCCTACGGCTCCCAGTCCAAGCCCCTACTGCCTGAGCCACAGCCGGAGATTTGTGACATTGGACACCCCAATAAGCCATCTGAACATTAAAGGGGCCCATTATGCTTATTTTCAGTTCTCTTTAGTGTTTTATACCTCTACTTTGACATGTTGACATGCTTTAAATGTTAATGTTGCCGACCAATTGCATGCACGGAAACCTATACAACACACTACAGTACAGGGGAGGGAAAGCCCAAAGAGCACAATAGTGGCCAAGACAGTAAACACAAACCTTAACAATGTTTCTTAATAACAATTATAGAATTGGAGAGAATCCATGTATTATACATACAACATATGAGCGAAAGAAAACATTAAAACTACACACTCAAAACTAATATAATCAAACACTAACTACTTAATGGTCCAAACACCAGTATTAAATATAATAAACACAGACACAAAAAACAGTGTAAATTCTAACGAGTCACTTTATAAGTCCTCCGCCATTCAGTGTATGCAAGTTCAGATACATTTTATTGAGAGCTGCTGCCTCTTTTCAAATATCACAAGTAACTGATTACATTTCAGTGTTATTTTTGTAATGGTGCTCACCTTGCAGCCATCGGACTTGGGTGGCGGGGCCGTAGCCCTTCTCGTTACGGGCGGCGATGCGGAAGATGATAGCGGGCTTGGTGGTGTAGTCGATGTGGGCGTTGGAGAGGCTGGACGACTGCACCAAGCAGGAGGGGTTGGGCCCGCAGTACACGCGCATGAAGGCTAGCTGCGCTGGGGTGGAGGCCTTGGCTTCGGCTGTCTGGTTGCTCTGGATGGCCAGGTACACAGAGTACTCGATGATCTTCCCCGACGTCACCGAGGGCGGCTCCCAGGTCAGGTGGGCACCATCGGGGCTCTGCAGAGGGACGAGGAATGATTACTACTCAGTGCCTGGGAGCACGACTCTTGAGAGCAGCTGCAGTTATCATGTGATTCCACAACGAAAAGAGAAAACAACAAGGGGAAGGGCTTCACTGGGGTGTTTACCTTGCTGATTTTGATGGCGCAAGGAGCCCCTGGGAAGCCTGGTAGGCAGGTCTTGAAAGCGGATATCTCTGAGAAAGATCCACGGCCACAAGCGTTGATTCCAGCAACACGAAACTTGTAAGCTGTGCCAGGCTGCAGCTCCATTTTCTTCATTTGGCTGTAGTCTGGCATGTTGCCAGAGTCATCCTGCAAAACAGAACAGAGATTAGAGATGCTCCCAGCACAGTCATCTGAGCAGGAACGGAGCCTCCTGAAATACTTACATCTCCCTGAGAGTCATCTCCTGGCATATAGAAGTGGGTGACGACCATATTTGTCACTTTAACGATTCCAACATCGAACCACTGGTTGTCTTTCTTTACAACAGCCTTCACCGGGGTTGGCTGTGGGGCTTGTTTCTGTAAGATAACAGAGATACTCGGTTACATAACTCCTCTTCGACCTTAGCTGAACCGGCCAGATATTTCACAATAACTCACCGATCCCTCGATCCCATTGGCCACATCTGCCAGGGCGGCTGCTGCTTGCAGCTTGGCTGGACTTGCCACCGATAAAGATGGAGCAAATGTGCTCGAAGGAGCGAGTGCTGTGGAGGGAAAGGGAACAACAGGGTTCATACACTTTTCCCCCAATGATTTCCAATGACTTCTCCATGACCTTTACCTAATTTTCCATGACCAAAAAAATGACTCTTTCTCAGCGGTACCACTGAAAATTGTTTATTTTAACATGGAACAGGAAAATAAGGTCTGCATATGAAACATGTTGTGCCTATCTAAATCAAATAATAGGCTTACTAGCTTCTACGGCTAAAGCAACTCAAACCTCTCACCAGCAAAATACCTCAACAGTTAAATGCCATTTCACATTTCATTACTATACGATACAGTATTTATTATCATTATAGTATTACTATTTCAGCGATTAGATAAAATATAAATTATATTTGTTTTCTAGAACTTTTCCAGAGCCTGGAATTAGCATTTTGAATTGCCATGACTATTCCAGGTCTTTAACGACCGTAAGAACCCTAGAACAAGACAGAAAAGGTTAATTTGCTGTAAAAAGAGACATATTGAGTAACTTTTAGATAAAAAAGCACAAGTCTTACTCTCGGCAGTGGTGCGTGGCAGCAGTGAGGCCACAGCGCTGGTGACTGCGGCTGCCATCTCATTGTGTCCGTTGCTCTCGACGGAGGGGTCGTTGAGGCTGTCTGCGGGGGCCAGGCCCTCAGTGGGCAGGTTGGCCTCCGCGCTGGCCTGCTGCGCCACGGCTTGAGCCTCCTGCAGCTGCAGCTGCTGCAGCTGCTGCTGCTGCAGGACCAGCGCCGCCAGCTCCTGCTGGGTCAACATGATGGGGATGGTGGTGGGCTGCTGGCTCTCTCCAGAGGCCTCATCTTCATTTGAAAAGAGAGAGAAATATTTTAGAAATCATACTACATAACTTAACTACAACAACATCATTAGGAACTGAAATGATTGGGGGGTTTGCAGTAGTTACAGAGCTAGAGCAGCTTGTCAGTGTTATTTGTTAGGAGGTATAAGCTACTAGGGATGTAACGATATACCGAATATCGCGGTAAATAAACGTCCCAATACCGTCGTGAGACTGACAAAATCTACCGCGATTTTTCTTTTAAATAATACTTTTTTTTGTTTTAAACCTTTATTTAACCAGGTGGTCCCATTGAGATCATCGATCTATTTTTCAAGAGAGACCTGTCCAACATGGCAGCAAGTAGGTTACAACATGAACATAAAACAACAGATAACACAAAAGGACATCGTATTTACAGGGCTACATGTACACACCTAGAGACATTGACAAGTACCAACAGTATAT